ACCGTGTGTCCCCGCTCCTAGCCCACAGGCGCTAAGCAGCACCCACAAACCCTCAACCCTCTTTGGCGGTTTGTCAGACATCTTTCGCGCGTTTTAGGGTTCAAGGCAAATGCGTCGGGGTTAGGGTTTAGCCAAGAGCCGAGGGTTTAGGGTTTAGGGCTTAGGGTTAACGGTTTAGGGTTTAGGGTGTGTGGCTGCAGCTTCGTGCCTGAGTACTCGGTGAGTGGCAACCTGGCGGTGCTGCCACTGGAGTGTCTGCACAGCTCGTTGGAATGCAAAAGTTTGGGACTTTCTTCTCGTTTGTTGCAAGCAGAAAGTATTTGTCATTTGTGGCTGGAGGCTTTTTATCCGCTGAGTCGGCTCACTGCGGAGGCGGAGCTGCTGGGGTGTATGTACACCTCAACGATGCTGCGCAAGCTCCTCGTCGACCTCTTCATTGAGGTCCGCCCACACTCCTTTCTACGTTTGCTGCTGCTGCTGCTGCTGCTGGTGCTGCTTTTTGCTGCTTCCGTTTGCCAAATTCGGCGGCTTCGGACCCTCTCCCCCGCTCTTCGCCCCATTTGCTGCTGCATTTTCTGCTTCTTTTCCACTTGCTGCTCTGCTGCTGCGCTGCGCGCTGGGACCCCGCGCCAGCCTAGTTTATGTCTTTTCGCTTTGCGCCTTTCTTTCTCCCCCTCCTCCCTGAAACCCTCGGCAGCAGCTATTCTTTCCATTTGAAACCCTCAGTTGCAGCTTTTCTCTTTATCTAAAATCCTCAGCAGCAGCTTTGTTTTCCATTTGAAACCCTCAGCAGCAGCTTTTCCCTTTTCTGTCAGTGCCGCTTTAGGGCGGCTCAAGCGCTGGTGCAATGGGCAGAACGAAGGTGCTCTCTGTCTGCGCTGCTGCTGCTGCTGCCTGCTGTTGCTGCTGCGTCCCTCCTGGCTCGTTTCTTCTCATTGTTTGCATCTTTAGCATCTTTTAATCCCATACTCCCTTCAGCAGTTCCCTAGCGTCCCATTTTTTGTCTCAGGCAAATTTCGGCTCCGTAGAAATGCGCATTCGGCGCTTCGAGCGCCTCCAGCGTTATGTGTCTCTGTGCGAGTTGGGGCTGGAGGAGTTCCCCATAGACCCTGTGGGTGCTCTTGCCAACAGCAGCAGCAGCAGCAGCGGCGGCAACGACAGCGACGGCAGCAGCAACAGCCCGTCGCAGCAGCAGCAGCAGCAGCGGCTGCTACCCCCCGTGGAGTCGCTAGCGTACAGCGAAATGTTTCAACTCAAGTGCTGCGTCGTACTGCATGCTCTCGAGGCCTACTTCGCCTCCCAGCCCTTTTTGTCTTCTCGTTTTTTTCGGGCTTTTTGTCTTTCGGATTTTCTCGCCAAGACCAGCAGAAGAAGAGACCCGCCAAACAGCGAACGCTTCTGGAGACGGGTGCGTCTTGCTGCAGCTGCTGCCGCCTGTTCCTGCTGCTGCTGCTGGTGCTTCTGTGCTCTCGAGGCGTGCTTCTGCTGCTGCTGTGGCCTTGAAGCTTGCTTCTACTGCTGCCCGTGCTGCTGCGTCTGCTGCTGATGCCCCTGCTGCTCCCCATGCTGCAGATGTTTGCTGGCTGTGGTAAGTTCAGCAGCAGCAGCTGGGCATGTAGCCTGGGCCCAGCTGCGGCCGCAGCAGGAGCTGCCGGTGTTACTGTTGCTGCTGCTGCAGCCCGTGTTGCTGCTGCGCGTGCGGTGCCGCTGGCGATGCATCTGCTGCAGACGTGTGGGCGTGTGCCGCAGCTGCTGCTGGCAGCAACTGCTGCCTACGTGGCACACTGGAACAAAACCCCCCAGGCCAGAGCCGCAGGGAGGGCTTTGCTGCGCCTGCGGCCAGACGCCAAACAAAAGGGGGGCCTCCAGGCTGTGGAGCTCGAAACAGCGGGGCCCGACGAGCAGCTGAACCCTCAGGTAGCTGCGATGCCCCACAGGGGGGCCCCACAGGGGCCCACAGGGCCCCACAAGGGTCGAAGGTTTAGGGTTTCCTGGTGCAGGGTCGAGGGTTTAGGGTTTGCTGTTACGGGGTTTGCTTTCCCCTGGGGGCTCTAGGGCTTTCTAGACAGCGTGATGGGGGCTTGGCGGTGCCTTCGAGGGTTTCGGGTTTATGGTTTAGCCTTCAGGATATAGGCTTTAGGCTTGCGTGTTTAGGGCATAGGGTCTAGGGGTTTCGGGCTTCAGGTTTCGGGTTTAGGGCTTTGCGGCTCCGGTTTAGGGTCTAAGGTTTAGGGTTTAGGGTTTAGGGTTAAGGGTTTGGGGCTTAGGGTTTAGGGTTTGTGGTTTGCTTGCAGGAGCACGAGGCGTTGGCTGCGGTGGAGGAGACGCTGCAGCTGTTTCGCAGCGCCTTTGTGGGGGGCACTGGCTGCCCGCAGCTTTCGCTGTCTTTCATGGTGCAGCTGCAGCGCAAGGGATCGGCGATGGACATCTTTACATTTGAGTTGGACCTTCTCGCGCTGCAGCCTCCCCCACCAATCACCGAGCCCTTCGAGACCCACAGGCTGCAGCAGCAGCAGCAGCAGCAGCGGCAGTGGCAGCAAGAAATACAGCTCAGGAGGCCCCACGTCGAAAAGGCCGGCATATCTGTGTTTTACCCTGCAGGTGATCCGCAGATGAATTCTGCCTAATTTTGGGCATTTTGTCTTCTTTGGAACTTCTATTTATCCTGTTCTTCTCCTTTTTTCCCATTTAAGTAAATATAATTGGCTTTGCTGCTGCGGCTGCTGCATGCAGATCTCGCGGGCCTGGCGGGCTTCAACTTGTGGCAAGCCCAGGAAACTGGCAGCAGCCAGCGCGGCGAAGTCACGCTGCGACTGTCTGCAGAGGGCCCCGGGGGCCCCCCAGCTTCTTCCTGGGAAAGCCTTTTAGTTCGTCAGCTGTGGCCGGCCCTCAGGCGACCGTCCTCCGCCGCTGCAGCCAGCAGCAACAGCAGCAGCAACAGCAGCAGCAGCAGCAGCAGCAGCGGCAGCTTGCTGTTTGGGGGCGAGTTTAGCAGCGAAATGCTGCCCCTCAGCACCCACGTGAGGGAAAAACTGCAGATTTACCAGGGCCTCCATGACCCCGTAGATGTGGTGGGCCGAGACGGAAACTTCATTTTAGGGTTTGGGTATGTGGGGGATATTCCAGCGCCTCTGAACGCGGGCCGTGGCCCTTTGTGGCAGGCCATCAAGGAGGCGCAGAGGCGCCACTGCATGCAGCAGCAGCAGCAGCAGCAGCAGCACCCGGAGGAAGACCCGAATGAGCAAAACGTTGACTCCTTCGCCGCCGTCTGCGTCGACAACGAAAGGAGTATGCTGCAGCCCGGCCCCGGAGCACGCGAGCTGCTGGCAGCGGCTGCGAGGGTTTAGGGTTTAGGGTTTAGGGTTTGCGGGTTGGGGTTTGCGCGCAGCGCCGCCCTCTGTCCCTGTGGCGACTGTGGGTGGCCTCCCCGCCTGGGCGCGGCTGCTGCAGCAGCGGGATTACCTGCTGCGGCTTCGCGCAGCTAGTGGGTCGGATGTTTGGCTGAAAAGCGTTGGAGTGTACATACACTCGGTGGCTCCTGCTGCAGTGCCTGCTTCTCTAGTTGCGGAGCTGCTGCCGATGGCTGCGGACGCTTTCGGGCTCAACGGCTGCCTCCCTTCACCGAACAGCAGCAGCAACAGCAGCAGCAGCAGCTGCTGCCGCGTGCTGGGCGGGGGCGTGCTGCAGTACACGGGAGCGGAGGTGTCAGTGCCTGCTGCTCCGGTGCAGCAGCAGCTGCTCTCGCTGCAGCACCCCTCTGCGTACTTGTGCCTGTCTGCGGGCTTCGAGAAATACTGGCTGCCGGCGCTGCAGCTGCAAGTTGTTGATGACGATTTAATTCGAGGCAGCAACATTCAACTCAAGGAGGGCGCGCTGCCCCTCAGATTCGCTCTAGATGCCAGGGCCGAACGCGGCAGGCAAGCCAACCGACGCCCGCGTCCTAAACCCTACACCCTAGACCCTAGACCCCTAAACTCCAGACACTAAACCCTGGGCACCTGAGACTTCAAACCCAAGACCGTTATCTCTGGACCTTAGACCCTAAACGCCCAGCCCTAGACTCTAAACCTCGAACCCTACTGAGCCCTAAACCCTAAACCCTAAGCCCTTACGTGGGGATGGGGAGGCGCACGCTACCGCGTGGATGCCGAGTTTAGCAGAGAAGCCCAGCAGCTCCTTAAGTGCAGCATACCCTCTGAGTTTTCCTTTGTCAAGAACAGCCTCAGCAATAGCAGCAGCTTTCGAGACTGTCAGGGAAAGCAGCAGCTTTTTCGACGTCTTAATGACAAACCCTAAAGCTGAGGGTTTGTGGGATTGCGCGTTGTGGGCAGGAAGAAAGTGGCGATGAAGGGAGACAGAATGCTGCACGGGTCCAACAGCAGCAAGGTCCTCATGAAGGCAGCAGCAGCAGCAGCAGCAGCAACGGACGCTCCTGCAGCAGCAGCAGCAGCGGCGGCGGCCGCGGCGCAAGCAGCAGCCACAGCAGATGGCCCCGAACCCGCAGCTGCTAGAGCAGCAACCGGGGGAATGACAGCAGGCGAACGCATCACCGTAAACCCTCAGCCCTGCCTCCTAAACCCTTTTTCTGTTTTTCTTCTATTTTAGGGTTTGTGAAGGGTGCCCTAAGGGGCTAGGGTTTGGGCCTGCCAGCTGCTGCACTGCAGTCTGTTGGGGCTCTTGGGCCAGCTAGCGCTTAGGTGTTTGTCTTTCATTTGCTGCTTTCGTTTCATTTGTTTGCCTGCATGCATTAGGACATTCAGTAAACACGTGTAAGTGTATTGGGCGTGCATGCATGCACTCCCTAGTAGGCAAATTTTTCATTTGTTTGCCAATTAACTGTGCCAAGTCTGCATGCATTTGTGCATCAGACATACCAAATTTGCATGCATTAGTGCATGAATTGTGTCAAATTTGCATGCGTTAGTGGACAGAATGTGTCAAATCTGCATGCATTTGCCCACAAAGAGTGCCAAATGTGCATGCATTAGTGCATGCAGTGTGTGCATGCAGTGGCTGAGGAGGTAGCGATGTGCGGGGTTGGGCTGTGGGGCAGTTCGCAGGCTCTTTGAGCAGCAGCGACAGAGCGCTGTTTGAAAGCCTCAAGCGCTGCGTGCTGCAGCGGCACCCTTCGCTGCTGTCGCTGGACAACAGATCCTTGGTGGCGAAAGTCAACAGCAAAACCAAGCTGCCCATTCTCTGGATGCGCGCAGACCCCCACCAGACCTGGCCCGCCAGGTAGCCGCCTCAAACCCTAAACGCGAAACCCTAAACCCTAGGCCCTGAAGTTTGGGGGGTAGCAGCGGGATGCTCCCGGCCGACACCGTAGCGAGCGGCAGCGAACGCCAGCCGCTGCCTGCGCTGCCCGGTGGCGCCGGCTGAGGGTTCGGGGCCCAGGTTTGGGGTGTAGGCTTTAGGGTTTAGGGTTTAGGGTTTGTGGTGCGCGTCGCTAGGATCCGGCGCTGCCAGAGCGGGTCCATGTGGGAGCAGCAGCTACTGTCGGAAACCTCCGTGGCCAGCCAACTCGAAGCAGCAGCAGCTCTTGGCTCTCTTCTCCCCGCACAAACTCAAGGGGGCCTTTTGGGGGATGACCCTGTAAAGGCACATGCAGTCCAGGCCCTCAGCAAGGTCTTGGCGTCCCACAGGTGGCACCCCTTCTTCAGGTAAACCCTAGCTGCGCCTCCAAACCCTAAACCCTCCGCGCCCGCACGCACTTCGTTCACGGTCCAGGGTTTAGGGTTTAGGGTTTAGAGTTTAGGATTTAGCGCAAGACAGTATGCCGAGTCGAAGCGTTCGCTGACGCGAAAGCGGCGGTAGGAACCTTGAGGAAGAGAAGCCAGGGTTTAAGGCTCGAAATATCGCCAAGGGTTTAAGGTTTAGGGTTTAGGGTTTGCGGCTGCAGAATACGGGCGGCGTTTGCGTTGAGTCGCCTGCACAACACGGGGGGAGAAGAAAGTGCAGCAGCTTGGAAGGCTCTTGCGAATTATATTTCATCTTTTCATAGCGACGCGGTTTTAGAGGTTAGCGGCTTTTGCTGCCCCCAGCCTATAGCGCAGCAGCTGCCTGATGCGGCAGCAGCAGCAAAGCAGCGCTTAGGGTTTGGGGTTTAGGGTTTAGGATTTAGGGTTTAGGGTTTAGACGTGGGTCTGCAGGCGGAATCCAACGAAGGCGTGTCCCCTCCTGAGGCGGCAGAGGGCGGCTCCAGTGGGGACTGGGGCGGCGCGCCAACAGCAGCATCAGCTGCTGCTGCTGCTGCTGCTGCTGCTGGCGCGAATGTGCCCAGCGCGCCCGCTGAAGGCCGCGGGGGCCCCGCGGAGGCCTTGCGGCTCTCCGACTATGCATGCACTAGTCCTGAGAGCAGGTTTTTGCGGCTCTTCTATGGGGCTGTTTCGCTCATTAGAGACCCCAAGGGCCTGTAAGGATAAAAGGGTTACTTTGCTGCTGCTGCTGCTGCTGCTGCTGTTGGCGCTGTCGATGCTGCTGCGCTTGTTGGCCTGTATGCTAGAGCTGGCGCTGATTCTACGGTGTTCGTTCGCGAGCAGCGGGGCTGCTTTGGGGCGGAATTTCAGCTGCCGCTTCTGCTGCTGCTGCTGCTGCTGCTTGCAGGTCGACTCCCGCTGCGATCGACATGCTGCTGCAGCCCCTGCAGCAAATGGAAGCCACGGGAGCTGCAGATAGCGCGACGCTGCTGTCCTTGGGCGCCTCTGTGTTGGACTGTCTAGGCAACTTGAGGTGGCCATACACCCCACTGCCCAGCCTTGCAGAGGCCTACCACCCTTACTTTGCTGCTGCTAAGGTAACCTGTATCACGCACTAGCAGCCCTTAGAGCACCAGCAGCAGCTGCTGCTCTTTTTGCTGCTGCATGCCCCGCACGTTAGCACCAGCGAGAGTCCCGCAGAGCAGCTGGAGCAGCTACAGCAGCTGCAGCAGCAACGGCAGCAGCAGGTTCTGGGCGTTCGTGTGAGCCACAGGCTGGGTTTCGGCTGGCTTTGTCTGCTGCTGATCGGGGATCCAAGGGGGGCCCCTTGGGGAGTTCGTTTGGGCATTGCGCAGTTGCAGTGGGGGCCCCTTGCGGCTGCACATGTGAGCTGATGCTGCGGGACTTGGCTGCGGGCACAGCAGCAGCAGCAACGGCGGCGGCAGCAGCAGCAGAAGAGGAGGCAGCAGCAGAGGCTGCTGCCAAGTGGGAAGCCTTTGTCTTTGCAAACTGCCGCGGAATCGAAAATGCCTGGACTGAGGCCTGGAGGCTTTTCAGGCTCGACGCAGTCAAGGCTCTCGCCTCACCTAGAAAAGTGGGCCCTGGGAGTTTTAGCTTTGCTGCTAGTCCACGGCAAAGGCAGCTTGCTGTTGCTGCTGCTGCTGCCGCCGCCACTGCTGTGCTACTCTTGCCGGTGCTGGTGGTGCTGCTGCAGCGCTGTTGCGTCGCTGTCAGTGCTCCTTTTGCTGTTGCAGCAGCTGCTGCATCGCAGTCAGCGATGCTGTTGCTGTTGCTGCTGCTGCTGCTTCAGGAAATGACATGCGGGTTTTTGCGCGCGATGAGCCGCAACCCGTTGCTGCGGGACTTGGCTCGCCGTCGGTTCCTTGGGGGCCCCTTGGGGGCCCCCCCGGGTGTTCCCGGGGCTCTCAGCAGCAGCTTGCAGCCGGAGGGGCCCCCCTCTCTGAACTCTGTGGCCCGCATTGTGCAGCTTTTTGCTGTTGGGCCGCACCTGCCGCAAGAATTCGGAGTGCCTTTTGATTTGCTGCACTTCGTGGCGAGCCCCAGCCACCGCAGCTTGCTGGAAGCAGCAGCTCCAGCAGCAGCAGAGGCGCTGCTGGCTTACGACTACCCCCTTGTAAGGCGAAAGCTCTGCTGCTAATAGCTGCCTTTCCAGCTGTTGCAGCAGCAGCAGCAGCAGCAAAGATAGTGCAGAAGCTTTATTTTGGGGGATCAGAAAGGGGTTGTGGGGTTTGCAGGTGAGGAGAGAAGCCCTACGGGCGCTGCTGCAGGTCTGCTGCGAGGGGGCCGTACGGGTTTATAGGGTGCCCGCTCGCCACTCAGCAGCAGCA